TTGAGATTTTGGACGCAAAGCCAGCCTTTCTGCGATGTCTGCACTCCTCGAAAACTTAGTGGTGATATTGTCGGTCGTACCATCATTCATCCTTCGCGGAATTACAAAAAATGGTGAAGTCTCAGCTCTAGGAGAGGTTTGCATCTGGCTCGAGGACGCTATCTCTAACTTCCATCAAAATAGGAGTCCTCAAGTGACCCTTCTTTTCAGCCGAAAATGCGATTCGTGCAGCACCGGTAAGAGATTTTCGGAGAGGAATTTGTACTCCGTCGCCACATCCTCTCCTTTTACAGTTTTGCCAACTTAAGGTGGGCGGATTACTCATCCCTCTCGAGGGTCCTTCCATTTGTGTTTAGTCAGGACTGGAACTCAAATACATACGTGCGACACTTGGTTCTACCGCCATCAATTCTTTTCCACCAGAACGACTATCTCTGCCTGCTACGATCATGGTGGCACAACGCAAACGAAAATGTCCGTCATTTTGCTCAACGAGATGAAATTTCACAAGTAAACGTTACTGAAGCATGTTCAGCAGTATGTTAAAATTATCTGTTAAAGGGCTATGACGACGTTCGCCGAGATGTTCAGTATTGCTAAATGTTGATGGTATTTTGGTGCGCAAACATGTCACACTTACTCCTAAAAGTTTCTACGGATATGGACATGACGACCTTTTGAAAGGAGAATCATTATTCACTAGGAGAGGCTTATTTTGGGTCTGGCGTTTCGATCTGTGATTTCGTATACCTATATTCAGTGATCCCTGCGTACAGCTCTCATTATAATGGCGCATTTTCCCTGGTGCGTAGGTCGACAATGCTGCGAAACTGTGTGCGTGGATCGGATCCCCTACTCACAGTGGCGATATCTGGCTGTCCCGACTGTTTCATACTTTCATGGTCTCCGGTCAAGTGCATATGCACTTCCAGATAGGAGGGAGGCCAGTTTATGTAACGGTGGATCTAACGGTAGGTGGAGACCCAGGCTTCTTGCACCTGCCTTTTTGTGCTTATCACCCCCCGCCCCTAGGCATGGCGTGCTCCGTTCCAGTCACTGTTGGAGAAAGAAGGCTTCGCGTGTCCACTCTAGTTGTCTGTAACTCAAGGGAAACAGGTCCAGATTAGATAATCTTGTTTCGTAGGGTAACGAACCCTATATTTAGCCAGTTCGGTTGCATGCCCCTGAGCTCTTTCAGAGATGCCGCGACCTTTCGAGGTCTAGGGTTTCCATAATTGCATGACGAACTCCAGTTGCGACCGCACAAACGTTCCATGGACTCTGGCGAGGTAGTATTTATCAAATGTTGTGAAAGTCCGCTTGACAAGGTACACGTCTGATTTTCCAGTCTCGCGGACAAAGAGATCCCGCCAGTTGGCAACTTTTGGAACCACGGCTCTTAAGGCGCATTGACAGCCCAGTGTGCGTGTCGGTCGGAGTTTAATGATAAAAGAGCACATTGGCTCCGGTCCAGTCCCTTTTCGCGGTACCATCGTGATCCAGTTGAAGGAGTAGATAAGGGCGAGTCGGAACTTCCTTGGACGCAGACACTAACCTAAATTCCCCGTGTGTACGTAACCGAGCCAATCTCGGAACAAACTCGTCTTAGTTAGGGACGCACACCGGATGTTCTCATCTGGTTTGGTGGCCATCGCGATGTTGACCCTGTATTCAACACAATTTCTTGGAGATAATGAGAGCCGGATGCCAGATGAGGTCAGAGCGTAGTGACTAAATCGGGCAAATTGGCCTTTGGCGTGAATGGAAATCCATCAAAACGATTGTTAATGCTGGAGCACGCTATACGCACCACAAGTTTTAAGACGCGATAGTTCGAGAAGTAATATTGACAAAGGTCCAGACATTCGAATTGTCTTTTCCGGCATTCTTGCTGACACGAGGGTTCCGCTACCAGAAATGTTGGTGACGCAAACTATTACGGGGGCAGTGATAACACGGAGGTGAATTGCATTACAGTTAGGGATACTGGCGCAGTGTCAGGGCAAATTTATTTTTCCATTACTATAATTTTTCAACGGTAAAATCAAGGTGAGTGAAAATGGGGCTGGACACCG